CACTATTTTTGGGAGAATGGGATGAAACTAGAGGTCTGGGTAATCCTTAAGAACATGGCTGGACAACCTTTTGAGGACCAGGAATATACTTGACATTTAGTGGCTATCTAATGGCTGCAGTGAGTGGAGTAATGATGCAAAGTAGGTGGAACCAGATCCTTAATTTCTTTTGGGGGATGGTTTGGGGAAGAGTTGGGGTTTTGTATTATAAAGAACAGATGGGGATCCATTCCAGCCAAATAGCTGCAGATGTTGAGTATGAAAAAGCCTGTCTAGCATTTTACACATGTATAAAATCCACAAAAAGCATTGCATAAAATCCTGGGGGGAAAATCCTAAACCATGGATTTCCTGTGGACAATGAGATCTGCTCTATAGTTTCCAACCACACATATGGGAAGGTGTGAATGATGAGAGTAACCTATATATTATGCCTATTTTCGGCCCTATGTCATTTTTTTGCTGCATTTTGCACCTTGAAACGGCAGTAAACCAGGACACCAGTTCTGACATTTGTGGTTTGGGGAATGCAAGAAAGAGGTTTGGGGGACAGGGGCCACATTCTCTGCTTTAGAGGACATTCAACCTGCAAGTTTCAGCCAGAATTTGTGGAGTGGGGAGAATGAAGTTGGAGGGGGAGGGTCTGAAAGTTCTGAAAGACTACAGATAAACAGGACAGAGAGATCAATAGGGACTATACTATACTTTAGGTCAGAAAATAGTTCAAAATCAAGGAAATACAAGAAAGAAAGGAATTTGGAAAGAGGTGGAAGATCACTTACAAAAGAGAAACATCTGAGGGTTTTCCCCCTCTGTCCCTTCTGTCTAAACAAATTCTGGCAGAAGAATGAGAGGCTCAACCCTCTAAGTGCTGTGATGCTATCAGGGAACTTATCACACAAAGTAAAGCCCCCTGCTTTGTTCACATATGGTTGCAACAGTATTTGAGACTCTGTTGAACCCCAAACGTCCATTGAAATGCCACATTACTTGTTTGGCCAAATCTTCTTTAAATCAAATTGTAAATTTCCCACAGCCATATTATATACCAAACTTAATTTTCAATTTCTGCTTAATGCCTTATTTTATAAGAGTTAACACCTAAGATTGCCTTAGTAGAATGAACTGTTTTATTGCTCCTCAGTATGAATCAAAATATTATGCATGTTCAAAGGAACTTTTATTTTTCTGACATTGGTGTTTAAATAAGAATGGAATAAAATTAGGAAACCATAGCAAATGACAAAATCCATTTAAAGGAAACCTAAATTAAAACCTTGCTTGTTCTCAAGACAGATTGGAACTGAATTGATCTTGATTATAGTCAAAGACCAAAGTGCCTTATAAATAAAAGCATCCATGCCATATGACATCTAATGACTAATCAAACTTCAATATGTAATTTTTTTTTTTTTTTGCTTCAGTCAATGGCATTAGAAGATATTATACTATCTTATTAGGTATTAGGTAAAATACCTTATTAGATTATCTTATTAGATATTAAGTAAAAGAAATTTGTGACCATATAAGTCACCTTCTTTTTTGTCAGGCAGCAAAAGACATAATTGTTTATAATAAATACATTTTCCCCCATTGAATGCATAATCAAATGTTTTGTAGTCCATTTTTTAAAAAAATCATTATTAGGAGCTCAAGGAAGCATAGCACTCCCTCCTCCCATCTTTTATCACAACAACCCTGTCAGGTAGGTTGGGCTGTGTGAGAGTGGCCCAGAGTCACAAAGTGGGCTTCCAGGGCTGAAGGTGGATTTGACCCTGGATCTCCCTTCTCCTAGTCCAACACCTTAACCATCATACCACACTGCCTCTTAATGAATCACACTTTTGTATGCCATGTATTGAGACCAAATGAGATTATTCAAATGTTACAGAATTTTCCTTCCACCTACTTTCAATGAGTAACATCACAATGAATTGGCTCCAAGCTGAGTCTCTCTTAACACAGATTACTAAAAGTAATCTGTTCCACTGATCTCTATCCCTAAACATGTTGTTTTTTTTTAAAGTCTGGTTCTAATTTATTAAATTGAACTAACATTCATTTCACACCCCTGATAAAAATAAAACTAGTATCCATTCAGTACAGAACAGACCCAAAGCAATGTTACTGCTGGATATTCAAGTCTCATATATTTGTCTTCATCTTAAGCTCCAAAAACAGTTTAATAGGTAAAAAGCAAAAATTGCCTGGTATAATTTATAGGTGATATTAAACTGATAGAACATTCCCTAATTTCTGATACATTTTCCATAATACTGGGAATTATCCAAGAGTTAGTCCATACTTGTAGAAGTACCTATTAGAATAAGCCTTTTCTCATATTTGTTAATCTACATTGGTAGGAATATCTGGAATATTAACACAAATTGTTATTCTTTTAGTGCTGTAATGCCAAGCCAAGCATACCTCATGAAACCAGTGTGAGGCCAGACAGCATATATGGGAGCTAAAGGTACCAAAATAATATTCAATAAAACACTTTGACTATCATCAAATATACTGAGGCAGTTGGAAAAAAGAAACCCATTAAGTTTTTCTTAGCAGTTCCCAATAGACTGTCTTGGAAAAGTATTATTGAAAACCTCTCCTAAATCAGATTCAAGATATTATAGCAGCTTCTGTGAAGGTCTGTCAGGAATTCCATTATAAACCCATATTTTTCATGTTTATAAGGTAGCTACTCTTTTTTTCTAGACAGTGACTTGGTATAAGAAGTCTTGGTTTGAGGCAATTTTATTTATTATTCAAGACATTTATATGTGAGGGCATTCTGTATTGCTTAACATTAAACTATTATTCTGAATGCCATTGTTTATTGCAGTAATTAAAAAAAATTACAAATATTTTAACATGTTCAAAGCCATATATTTATAATACAATTCCATACCAATAAATATTAAAGCAGAAATGCTTTATATATAAAGCACATATATATTGTACATCTTAAATGTATGATAGTACATATCTAATAATACTTGTATGATAGTACAAGTTGTTATTATTATCAACATCATCATCTTTTGGTTAATAAGTATATACCATTATTTAGACTATTCATAATATTGTGACTGGATACAGAGTGTGTCATTTCTTGATCTGCAAAACTAAAGTTTGTAATATAGGTACAGGACATCAACAGAATTCATTTCAAATGGGTGAAATGATCACTTCCAAGTTTATTTCTGTTTTTTTGTTTTTGCTATATGTGAAAAATTCTGCAATTTTAAATACATGTTGGAAATGGAGGAAAATTATATAATTGATACACTTGATCCCTCACAGGAATATTATTAATATTAACTTATTAACTGTGATAAGTATCTATGGAAAGGGATGGAATTCTATTCTAGCAACTATAAAGCATGAAGGTGACTGGCCTAACTCACTATTTTTCCCACCCATCATAGTTTCAGTGTTTTGCCCGTAGCTAAGACAGATAGGTTTATTGCTTAAAAAGTCAGAAATTCTCTGCTTCCACAGAGTCTGCTGGATTCTGTGTTAGATGTTTAACCTCTAACAGCAAAATCACAGCCATATCTATGCTAAAATGCCTTGAATGCTCTGAAGCAACCAATATCTGTGAAGCTTTGGAAAAGGCAGTTAAATGTTCAGTGTTTCATACAGCTCATGGTCCTATCCATTGTTTTGTTTCCTTCCATTAGTATGGCCTGCTATGTAAACAGGAGCCTTCCTCCAAATGCAGCTTGCTTCTAGATCCCACATTTATAGATTCTTAAAGTTCATTAATTCAATAATAGCCCAAGCATAATAGCTATTGCAATCTTAAACAACAACTGAAAATAGTTTTTCCATAATAATATTTCTTCCAAAGTTCACACTAATCCACTGTTGTTTCCACATACATATCAATGCAACACATACTTAAAGCCCAGATCAAGGTTACCTGTTTAATAATAATAATAATAGGAGAAGAAAGGAGAAGATAAAGTCAGAACCACATGGATCTTGGCACACCTTTGATGTCAAGCCAGCATTTCAGCCCATGGGGTCAGCTGGCAGTCAGGTATCATTAGTCAACACCATCTCCCTCGTTCCCTCTCTGCCATCTGTTTCCATCTACTCTATTTGTGTAAATTAACTCTCAGCATGGAGTCATTCTCACTCTTGTCATGATTCTTCTTCCTGTGTCCTACAGTTTTTCTCCTGGGCCAGGCACAGTGACCTATATTTAAGACAGTTGCCTGAATTCCTCAATGCATTTGTTTTGCCCCTTAGGTATCCTACAGCATCAGCTGCGTTGCACAAGCAACGTGACTGGCTGGAACTGTAAGACAGCAGCAAAGACTTCATTGCTTCTTTATTTTGCTAGTCCAAGTCGGTGTTTTTCCAGCCTGTGGCTGTGTGGCAGCCTCTGACATTTCCTTCCTTCTATTCTCTATGATTCATCCTTCAAAAATACATTGTGTCCTTCTCCGCTCTGAGCCATTCATTCTTCAAAAGTCAATTCAGGAGTGGAGATGCAGCAAGGCACAGGCGGAGCTAGGCTGAAGGGCTCTCCAGCATCCAGACACCTACAGCAAAGCCTGCGCTCACAAGGCAGCTGTGGTTTCTCCAGGGGGACCCAGGCAGTTCTTGGTTATCTGAGTGCGGGAGACTGCTACTTCTGATGTAGCGCCTACTCAGTCCTGAAACGGAGAACTGGTTTTTCCGGAAGGGGCCTCTCAGGGGTAGTTTCCCTCTCTGCTGGGCGTTCAGTAAGAAAAAAGAATCTCCCGCTCTTCACTGTGAATTTTTTTACAGCTTTTAATTACTCATATTGTTGAGAAACAGCAGATGATTAGTATAGCAAAACAAGTACAAGAGGAACTTTAAACACTAAGCTACAATTTTAACTTTTATCAATTTTAGCTTTGCATCAACTTTCCTGCAAACTACTGGGTTGCACACCAGGGACTAGTGATTATTTTCTCTTTAAAAATAAAACCAGAGAGAGTTTAAGTCTCTTTCCTGCCTGCACATTATGATCCTGATTTGAACTGAATCACTGTGCACTTACTCTGGAGAAAACAAAAACAGGAAGTAGAACAGCATGGTAAGCAATGTATATTTTCTAAATTACTTTAACACATATTAATGCTATTTCATGTTCCTGAAGCTATTTTTTTGACTCCTCTTTGCCTGTCTTGCTGTAGTACAAGAATAGGCAGCCTGGTGTCCTCCAGTTGAGATATTTTCAACTACATTATAGCTTTCAGAAACGCTAGCCAAGCTGGAAATATAATCCAAAATGTCTAGAGGGCACAGAGTTCCTAGGTCTGATTTTGCACAACACTATTGCAATATGAGAAGTGAAATGTTTTGAACTACCTATTAAAAAATATAGTCTTGCCTCAGGTGTCAGGACTTTTTCTCTATATTTACATATTAAGTTACATTTCCATAGCTGTTAGAAAGCCCCAGATCTACCCCAGATACATATTCTATGCCTATCATCTTGTACTGGGAAATCATCCTTGCCTGAATATACACCCTAGAAAAGTTGTTTAGTATTTGAATTTTAGAAGGCTGGGGTCAGGCCATAATACAATGATAAACAACATGTTTGCTGTGTAAGAAGTTCACACAAGATTATTCATTTTTTGCCACAAAAATATTGCAGACAGTGCTTAGTTTGTTAACTACTGTGGGCAGTAGATATCTGAACCCTTTCCAAATAGCTTAGCCTATCAATTTCTACCTTCCTGAACTGAGTTCTTTCCAGACATGTCTTATTCTACCACTCTTGCAGTTTGTATCTTACATTCTTAATTAGCATTCCATGATTTAGGCTCTTGGTGTTTTGCTGGAAAAAAAGAGAAATAGAAATGAGAAAGAATAATTCTGAAAAGCATCTTCTTATTTATCACGGTTTGTGCTGACATGCATTACATGGTTCTGCCAGATACATTTGGTTTTGCAGGTAGCTTGGATACACTTCTGGTGTTAACCAAATCATCTTAGAATTATATTCAGAATACAATTTTGTGTCAGGGAGTGTGTACTGAATTTACTCCAGACCAAACTGGGGTGATTTGGAAAAAATGAGTTGTCCAAACACAAATGAAGCTTCTCTAAAAAGGTAAAATTCTAAACTGAACTCTTCGGAAGTCTTGTTAGCAGTTTTAGAGGGATTCAGAGGTAGACCATACGGTATTTAATACTTGACAATAGGTAATATAGCTCCAGATTCAAAAAACCGAGTCTTCCCTCATTAACTGGTAATTGCATTTTCTGTAAAGATATTCTCAGAATTGAAGAACCCCATAGAAATTTTCTGAACAAAGAATTTATTTTCTGAAAATATTTTCCAGATATAAAAACTGGAATTCCTCTCAGGATATAAATTAATCTGGGAATAATATTCATTTTGAGAGTGTTCACTTTTCCCTGAAGGGTTAAGTTTAATTACTCCCATCTATCAATATCTGAAGAAACTTCTCTGTATATTTTATTTATATTACATGTTACTGAGTTATATCCTTTGGTATACACATACTGAGCTATTTAATGGTTTGGTACCAATACAGAATTGATATCCCTATATGAATGGGTAACCAAATTTTCACCTATTGGCATCAATTCCGATTTGGACAGTGAATAGAGTATCCTGCTATTTTACTAAAAGCATCTATCTTTTGCATCAACATTGGAATAGTAGTATGAGATTTAGAAATAAACAAAAGAATATTGTCTGCAAATAAAACCAGTTTGTGTTCAACTGAGTTGTGTACTACTCCGTAGATCTCCCTGTGTTGACTAATAGCACAAGCCAAGGGCAGATATTAAAAAGCAAGGGTGAAAGCAGACATCTTTGTCTAGTTCCTCTAAATACTGGAAAAGTAGGAGAAAACATGCCATTAACCTTTTCTTTAGATGTGGGCAACTCATATAATATCTTAATCCATTTTATGAATTCCAAAGGAAATCCAAATCTATTTAGTATGGCAAACATATACTGTTTATGTATTTTGTCAAAGGCTTTTGCAGCATCTAATGATAAAATTACAAATTGATCTTTATTTTTATTCAAGTCTGTTAGATCTACAATTCACCTAATGTTGTCTGCTGCTTCCTAGTTTTTATAAACCCTGCTTGATCATTCTTAATAACGAATGGTATCAGTTGCTGTAATCTATTTGCTAACACTGCTGTTAAATCATTATGTCGACATTAATCAATGAGATTGGACGATAATTAGCACACTGAGTGTGATCTTTACCTGCTTTTGGTATAACTGTAATATAAGCCTGATTAACTGCCAGTGATAAAAATCCCTTATCAAATATCTTCATACACTAGACAAAGTTTTGGCGCAAAAAGATCTATAAATGTTTTATACCACTTGATAGGGAATCCATCTAATCCTGGTATTTTACCACTTGCCGTTTTTAAAATTATTTGTTTAATCTCTAGCTCAGATAGTGGAGCAAATAAGAGTGGTTTTTGTGTATCATCTAAGTTAATTTTATTTTAAAAGGTCTCTATATCTTCATTCGATACATTCTCTGGTTTACTATATAATTCTATTTATATAGAATATTTTTTTTTAATTGACAGTTTATATCCATTGAAGTTTTATACATTTCATCTCTTTCACCTCTAATAATTGGAATCATTGTCCTATCTTTCTTTTGCTTTAAGCGATTAGCCAAGATCTGACTGGGTCTTTCACCATTCTCCCTGTATCTCTGTCAAACATGTTAGCATAAATTCCGTCTGCTGTGATATTATAGTAGTTAATTCATATTTCTTTTTCTGTATTTCTCTGTACAAAACTGTAGAAGGCCATCTAACCATCTGTGCCCATAAATGTTTCGATTCATCTCTCAAATTATTTTCCCTTTTATTTTTAATCTTATTTTTATATGATGCATAAGCAATAATTCTACCTCAAATGTATACTCAGGTTCCAATATTTCATTGAAATCTCCTATTATCAGTTTATCATAAATACATTCATTCAAGTGTTGAAAACATTCATAAAACATAATAGGAGAATCTATATTTGATCCCTAAACATTAACCATAGTTATTGCAGTCTCTGCTATTTTGGCACACAAAATTAAATAACACCCATTTACATCAGTAATAACTTGTTGTACATCAATGGGGAATCCTTTTCAAACCAGAATGGCCGCACCTTTAGCTGTCGTCAAAGTATCTGTGAGGTAAACCTGTCCCACCCAATCCTTCATCAATAAAGATTTATCCTATTTCATTACATGAGTCTCCTATAGATAAGCAATATCTGCCCTTAATGATTTTAAATATGCTAACATCACATTTTGTTTCTTAGGTTCTTGTAATGCTTTTACTTTAAGACTAACTAACCTTATCCATAAATTTTATTTTGGCCCAGTTATCAGTATTCTTCCAATACCAATTCGTTTTATGACCCGTACCGTTTAACAAATATCTAATAATAAACTTTTCTGTATTTAAATATTTAACATAATTTGTAATATTGCTCACAGACATAGAACCTCCATAAAGCTTCAATTTAGCATTCAAATACCATTCTTTTACATGTATATAGAATCTATACTTGAAAGAGAAAAAAAAGATTATGTGCATAAAAATAAAAGAACAAGCAAGTGACATTATTAAAGAGATTAAAAACAATCCTAAAGAATGAATGTATACTTGACAACTTCCCAAAGGGGATCACATGGAGGTTTCATCTCTCTTCTTACACTGAAGATTACAGAACAGTTTCAAACTTCAAACATTACTAGTTGAAAAAAATGTACTTTGTGTTAAAAATAAGCAGTAGAGTTGGCAGCATGCCCAGACTCTCTATCTTGAAATAACCAAAACATAAACAAAAAGGAGTACAGAAAAAAAAATGCCAGCATGTAGACTTTTAAATTGAGGCTGTTACAGCAGAGTGGTAGGCAAACTCAGTCTTCTCCTGCGACAGATTCCATAGAATGAAACACAGCCAAGCTTGTCCATCTGCAGATTTTAAAGATAGGATAAAAGCCTCACTTGATCAATCTCAACTGGAAAGTCTCTTCCCAAAGAAAGAGGGTTTCTGAAAAAAATTTCCATAAATTCAGCCAGGTTTGATTGATTTGGAGGGCTTTAATACCAATCACACATAGACTTTTCCTACGCAGTTGTGACTCCAAATAAGTAATTTGTTTATCCAAAATATTATGACTGGCTAGAGTTATGGTCTCATGGGCGTTTAAATGATGCTCATAGCGAACCATTTTTTCTTGCATTGATTTTAAATCACATTTAAGCTCTGCCAGATCTTGTTGGATCGGCTTCAAGACTTGTACCTGAGCCAGGATCTCTTTTAATAAAGTAGCAAAAGAATCTTCTTCCACCATCTTGCCTGGTTCAGCAGAGAGTGGTGTAGTTGAAATTGAATCAGCTGTTGAACACTTCGGTCCAGTTGCCATTCCAATAGCTCATTAGAAACAAAATAGTATGTAATAAAAAGTTTTCTTTACCCAATGATTCAAGTCCTTATCCACACAGTCCGATAATACAGAAATTTGAAAGACTTTTATTCAGGAGAGAGACAAAAGATAGGCACTCACCATGGCATCCCAGGCAGGAAGAAGTTTGGTGTGACTTGAATATATGAAGGACATTCAGTTGGGTAGTGGTAGTGGGTATTTGAATCTAGTTATTCCTCGAAGGTTCAGAAAATAACTACTTCCAAACTTGGAGGGGGTTACTATTGCTGAAAGATTACTGGCTAATTAAAGACAAGAAAGTATGCTATTACTGTTTATTTAACATATTTGTATGCTGCCACAATCAAAACCACTCTAGCGGCTCACATAAAAAATACAATACAAAACAAATCCCATTGTTACAGGTGCTCCCAGGTTCGGCTTATGGTCACTCACTCACCCACTCAGCCTGTTGAGGCACACAGATCTTGTAAGCCCCCCTTGCTTCCTGTCTGGGTTTTCCAGATAGGTGCGGCTAGAGCAGACAGACACCCAGCCCTGGACAACAGCCGGGAAATAGTTAGGGACCCACAGAAAGCACTTTCAGCTGAACACTGAGGCTCCACAGATTCCTTGGAATACA